AAAGGGGATATGACGCCATTGACGGACGACCGGTGAAACGCAGTGTTACCTACATCTAAAAAAAATTATTAAATAAATAAATAGTTGGTTGGTCGTGGCTTTTCTCCACAGATCAGAGCTGAAAGCTGCTTCTGACATGAGCTGTGTTACCATTGGACAGAGCCAAGCTAAGCTAAGCTAACCTGCAACCAATTTAACAAACAGATATAAGAGTGGTATCAATCTCTCTACCAGAGAGAAAATTAAAACATTTTCTAAAGAGTCAAACTATTCGTTTAAGACTTGATTTAGACAAAAACTGCCTTTGAAAAACCCCAAAAGTCACCAACAGTCTGATGCAAGCAGCAGAACAACGAAACAAGCTGAGATGGAGGCTGAACATTTGCATCAAAGATGTTGAAAGTGATGAGAAGCACAAATATTCACCGTCTGGGTTCAACCACTTCCTCCGTGACGTAGTTGAGGAAGTTCCAGCCGCTGAAGGCGAAGGAGGCCTGCAGAAAGGCCAGAGCGATCTGCCCGACTGACGGCGTCCTGTCCATAGCGAAGGCCACCTGAGGAGTCAGCGCCTCGTAGTTCCCTGGAAGACAAACCACACATATGAGTTTGTTTTTGTCCTCCAGGGAGCGGTAAAGCTTTGGACCACAGACTGTTACCATTGCAGATCTGGACCAGGCCGACCACGATGATGAGACCCAGAGCCATCAGCTTCCCCACCGTGAAGACGTCCTGGATCCTGGTGGCCATACGAACGCTGGAGCAGTTCACCCAGGTCAGCAGCACTGAGCCGAACACACACAGGATCACAGTCAAAAGCATTCTGGGAACTGATTCATCAATAATTATGGATAACGTGGTGAGATTGTGAAGAAGAAAATACAGTCTAATATTATGCGTCAATGTCAATTTTTTTTGTCAGAGTTCTGGTGTCCCTGAGTGAGAAAGTCAATGCTAGACTCTCCCTCCTCAATAACATAGGAATAAATCATACTAAACACTAATTAAATAGGCTCTGGTTAAGCATATCTTATACCAGATGTTCCCAACCTCGTGCTCAGATATCGTATCAATACATCTGTACTTTTATTAGCACTTGATTATTAATAAAAGAGCAGAAATCCCAACAGGAGCCAAAAGAAAACACAAACATTGGTGATTTCAGGTTTGATGAGGTTTGCGTTGAGACTTTTATTGTACCATCATCTTCTAAATGTTTTGGAGTCGAAGTCAGTGGGCTTGTGGTTCGATGTCTGAAATAAGGCTGAAAAGATTTTCACGTTTTGTTCTACAACATAAAATGTCAGTAAATACCGGTGAATGTGTGGTGACATTAAAACACAGAGACATAGAATTTACTCACTAATCCACCTTTACAGCCTTGGTGTTGTTGTCATTATACTCGCAGCAAACTAACTCAAACTTTACATCTTGTAGGTTTTAATTAGTTGAAAGTTTCGTGGTGCAGACGTTGAAGTCATGTTTTTAGTTCATTAATTGTGTTCATTGATGGAGATTATCTTTAATCTGAACAAAACGCAGATTATTTTCTGCAATAATTGGCTTTTTGTCAAAGGAACCAGAGTGATGCTGACTCCCGGGTTGTGTTACTTATTGGGTCAATCCTAACATATCATTCATTATGTTAGAACATTTCGGGGGTTAATAAATTAGGTGGTATCAAATCTGTGCAGACACACCTACTCGGCGATACCACATTTAAGGGACTATCAGAATAATTTCCTGGTACTACTACTTGTTATACTGCTATCTGTATCACAGCAACTCTAGTTCACGCTCTTGCAAACTCAAACTTTCCAACTTGTAGATTTTAATTATAAAATGTAATTTCAAGTTGTTAGTTTGGTGGTGGAGACGTTGAAGTCATGCGGCCGTGCTGTAGTTAGTTTATAGCCTAACGTTAGCTTTTAGCTTCTCACGGTCACATTTACGTTTCAAAATCCATAAAAATGTGGAGATGATCTTTAATCTGAACAAAACCTGCATCATAAACCTTTGGAAAAATCTTTGTCTTTTTGTCGAGGGAACCAGGACGATGCTAACGTCTGGGTTGGACGACAACAATATGACATCATCAGTATTATTATTATTATTATTATCGGACTTGTCGAAGGTTCTTGAAAGTTTCTTTTACTTTATTCAGCAGTTTTCAGAGGCCTTATATTATTACTACTGACTTTAAAACAAAGATTGGTGGAGTGCTCCTTCAAATGTATCAGGTACAGTTCCATCCCTGCATCGGGGAACCGGTGCCGGCGGTGGGCGGCAGCAGCCAGTTGCCATGGGAGGCAGGAATGTGGGAAACGGGCAAGCGAGGGGAGGGCACGATTGTTTCACCTCGTCCATCATTGTCACCGGCTTTGCCCCACTCTCTCTCATGGTGGCCTCGCTCTCCAACACAAAGACGAGCTGTCAGCCCCACAAAACAAACCACTTCCTGTTGCAAAGAGCAAACAAAACGTGCCGAGCCCGGACCCCCCCACTCTCTCTCTCTCTCTCTCCTGCCCCGAGGAGGCCGGGCAGAGCTCACGTTTTAGGGTCCGGCTCCAAAAACAAGCATGAATGATGGCGTCAGAGGCGAGGTATCACACGCTGAAGTCCCGCTGTTTAACCTCGCAGACGGGATTCCAGGCCGCCGTTATTTACTCACTGATAAGACAAAGAGGCTTTGTTGATTAAAACTCGTCAGTGCAGGTACTTTCTGGCAACGCACCAAGCAATTAGGCAGCCCGACAGGTCCACAATGACTAATGTAATGTCAGCTCAGGGCCCGGACAACACTGCACTGTGAAAAAACTAAACCTGTACGTTTACAGGATTTTACTGTATTTTTTTTAATGTATGTAAATATTACAAAAATTACAAAAATAACCTGTGAATTTACATGTCTGATGTGAAAAATATGCAGATAATCATGTAATTTCTGCGTATTTAAAGAAAATAAATTTTTATTTCACATCAAAAGATTAAAATACATTTGCAAATATGATTATTTAATAGATTAAAGTTTAATACTGTTAATATATTTTAAAATTATGTAAAATTTATGAGAATTAGTTTGTTAATTTACAGATATCTTGTATAATTATGGAACAAAAACGCTAAATAAATGATGAAAAGATTTTATGTAAAATTAAAGCTTAAAACTTTTTATTTTTTTTATTTTACATTTTTTATTTTAATTATATGTATTATATGTATTTTTATGTTATTTTATAGTACTTTTTTGGTGCCCGGCTGCTTGAATATTACCATTTTTTTTTTTACATCTTTTTTTTTACAGCGTGAGATCCTCACAGACTCTTCCAGTACCGACAGTCGACATGCAGCATTTCTTTTTTAATACAATCAATATTTGATGGGAATATTTGAATGTTTGAGGAGTGAAGAAGCTCTCTGCTGCTTTTTACATCCCTAGAACCCTGAATGGTGCTCCATCATATCTGCACATACAAGCCGTTTTAACCCTTTAAGATCACATCCGCAGTCATACTGTTCCCCTATTAGATAGATATACTTTATTGATCCCAAGCTGGGAAATTGCAGATAATTGGGAATTAACCAAATCATTTACAACAAAATCTGTTCTTTGTTTGTTTTTATATCAGAATCCATCATTTTCTCTCCCTGTAAAACAAACAATGAACATACGCATGAATTAACTGATTTCATCCAATAATATCATGACATTCATGATGCTGGACGGACTCACTGAAAATGAACCTGTCAATCACAAGGTAGCTCTGCCCTAAAGCATACCCTGCTTTATGGGGCTCTGTTTTACTCTAAATGCGGACCATCAGTTACTAAATGAACAATCATGCCGCTATTGAAGAAGACTGAAACTAGAGACTGGAGGAACAGGAACACTCATTTTTTTTCTGATTTACTGTCAGTCTTTAGTTAAATATACATAAAAAATATATAAAAATGTAAAATTATTTATGATGAAATACAGAATTCACAACCTGCTTTTGTTTCCCACACATTCTCTGCTCTCCTCTCTCCTGAAGGCTCGTCTGCATTATTTACTACAACCATAACAAAAGGATTTAAAAAGCCTCCAGACCAAACTTACATAAAACAGATTTTACATGTGACCACTTCCCTTTCTGACACACGTGTCCTACAGTGTTGTACGACTGGAATATGCTGAGAAATCAGTGGCACAACATGGAACTGGAAGCTGCCCATCCCCTGAACGCCCTCGGCCTGTAAGTTGGACAGTTTCACGAGGCTGTGATTATCCTGGAGGTCACAGTAGCTCATTTCATACAGTGAAATCATCACACATCATATAACTGGAATCAGCGAATCCTCAAGAAGCTTTTCAATCATACCAAATAAATGAATTTCCAATGCTGTTTATGGCCCAGAGTAAGGAGAAATACTCAGACACGAGGCGGAAATAACATATTTATACTGCATGCAAAAAACAGCATGGGATGACCATAAAGTGTCCGTAAAGAAGAGACTTGTGGGTACCCGTAGAGCACTTTCATTCATATATCTTGAGGTCAGAGGTCAAGGAACCCTGTTTGAAAATATCCATCGCCAACATCCCTAAATATTTAGCCCCATTCTGGATACCAGCGTCTTCACCTGAGCTTCAAACCTAAGTCTGGTTGTAATTGCCAATATGTCCAAGTAGTTTCAGCTGGGAGACGAGTTCACTATGACCAACAAGCTCTAAAAGCTTTAATAAAGAAAATAAACTCACCAAATGTCAAGAAAGGAAAAGAAAAACAACTTGTTTTCCTCATTATGGATGGCAATATATTTGTCGTCCAACCTTACCACAGCCTCTGAAAGACAGTAATGTCGTCAGCGTAGAATTGAAGACCCAGCAGCGTCTTGTTTGCCATTTATTTTCACATATTAACACACACATATTAAAGTCATGACTCACCCGACTGTACAAAATATGTACGTGATGTATTATTTCCATCGGATTGGTGCTCAATACTCGCCGATACACAAAGTTCGGGGTATTGGAAGGAAATAACGATATTGGAATGTAACTGTAATCAATGGTGAAGCGACTTACGGAGGCAGGTGGCGGACAGCATCCGTGTCGCCATGTATGGAGGAACACAGTTCGGGAAGACGGGCTGCAGGACGTAGCTGGAGAACGTGAGGGCGATGACAGCCAGCGTGGTCGGGTACATGATGAGGACGGCGCTCCACAACAGGAGAAACCTGAATAAGAGAAAGATATTCAGTGAGACTGATTCAATAATAAGTGCTTCAAAAAACGTCCTGAAATTTTGTTTTTGCGGGATAGTTCGCTTATTAATGCACTCAGCTTTAAGTTATTAATACTCCCGACCACCAGGGGGCAGTAACAAGTAATGTTCCTACCTGTAAGCTACACATATTTTCTTTGCTACAGTAGTTAGGTGATCAATAATTATTCGATGAACAGACCGAACAGTCTGAGCCACCGTAAGGTCGTTAAATCATAAACCGGAAAATGAACGGGATCTGCTCGGATGCAGTTTTCCACTATTTTCTGGTCGGACAATTGTAACGAGCCCATTTCAATTCCATTAATAGTGTAGTGGGTTTACAGTAACACGTTTTTCCCAACACTTTATTCCTGCAACAGGAATCTTCCACATGGACAGGGAGTTATGACCCAGAGAAGAGGTTTAATATTCATTAAAGCTGAATTAATCGTGAAAATCGGACAATTGTAGATCCAAAAGCTTTCCTGTGAGTCCTAAAACATGGAACTGAGTTAGCATTTAAGTGCTCTAATTCACTGGTTAGATACCTGAAATAAGATCTATTAACATAAGATTAAAAGTCCAGTTACTTTAAATTGAGTTGTTTTTATCTACAGACGCTGCTGGTCACCTTCCGTGGCGGCCGCCATGTTCAACTGCCATGTTTCTACACAACGGACAAACCAAACACTCTGGATTGGGGCTGTTCACAGCCACCGTAGTTTCTCCTACACGCTTGAAAGGGGAGGGTGAAGCGAGGGAGCTGCAGTATGTAAATACACCACTAAATGCCACTAAATCATACACAGACCATCCAAAGGACACGTTAGTCCACTTTTGTCGACATTTCTGGTCAAACAACCCGTCCCCAGTTGGATTTAATTAATCCAGTTTTCAATAAAATTTTATTTTATATCTGATGATCTTTTTCTGGTTTAATTTTCAAATATCTTTATTATTTAGCAATTTTAAGTAATAAAACCACATTGACTGAAACCCTGATGGCACAAAAAGTACAGTGGAGGCTCTTTACTCACCCCATCAGCCCTCCAAATATCTCTGTGACATAGGAGTAGTCTCCTCCAGATTTGGGGATGGTGACGCCCAGTTCAGCGTAGCAGAGGGAGCCCAAGGCAGCGATGCAACCTCCCAGTAACCAAACCACCAACGCCAAACCCACTGAGCCCGAGTGCTCCAGGACCCCCTTTGGAGAGATGAAGATCCCAGAGCCGATGATGTTCCCTGAGGAGAGGAGGAAGAAGGTATAAGACGCTAACAGTTGGGCTGTGTATTAGTAAGAATCTGATACGAAACGGTGGTTACGATATATTGTAATACTGTAAGCAAGGAAAAATGTCCTATTTTACAAATCATATGTATATAAAAAGTTTACTTTGTACTGCAACCAGAAAAATGGGTTTCCAGTTGACAGCACTGCTGAGGGATTTAACACCAAAATAAAAACATTATTTTAAAAGAATTGATACAATATTAAACAACAAAATATCACAAAACAAACATTTTCCATATTTTCTTACAGCCCCAACTGATGTTTGTGTTTTCTGTTAATAACAGATAATATAGTAATGTGTATGCAGATAAAAGGGCGACTGTAGTTTCTACTTTGCGAGGGAGTTGCAAACTGCAAAGACACCGCTAGATGCCACTTAATCCTAAACACACTGTACCTTTAACTTCCTTAATAAAAATGTTAGCGGCAGGTGGAAATTAAAATGTTGAAAATGCTCAAATAAAAAATACACATGGATTTCTAGCCCATGACTGGAAGTTTGTGCATTTAATGCATCCTGTTTCCAGTCTTTATGCTAAGCTAAGCTAGCCATCTCCCCCCCATTTCTGGTCTTTATGCAAGTGAAAGCACTTATTTTATCTTATTTATAAAGTATTTCAAATGTGTATCTCTTCAAAATGGCTGCTTTA